GTGGGACACCTTCATACTACTAAGGGTGGTAACTAGGAGGTAGCCGGTAGGCTTGCCTAGTTACAAGTGTGTGTGGTAAGAGCTAGCAAGCGGTGGGCTTGTCTAATTACTACTGAGTGTTGTGGCACATGGTTCTAGGGCATCATGTGGGGGTAATAGTTTTCAAGGGTAGTTAGGTTGTATTAGGTCGAGTAGACCGTCTTATTGAGTATTCAGTACTCACCCCCTTACCAGGCTTGCAGGATAGGAGATCCGATTAGGTGGCTCATAGGATGCGACAAGGCAGGAGGATGCGGCAGAGGCGATAGAGGCTTTCCCAAGGCGTGGTAGTTTTAGGGTTCTCGTATTGTAATTTCACCGCACAATGTAATAAAGAAATTTTAGAGTAATGAGATAACTGATTTGGCAACATTTTGCGGTAGGATTTATAGTCCTTAAAGCGGGTGTTACAAGTTGGTATCAGAGCTCGGTTGTCACTCCAGCTCTAACCTAGAGGACGAATATAAGATTTCTTGGGACTACTTGGGAAAGGACTCATGGACCGACTGCCCACCTCCACCGCTGACCTATGAGAACCCTGGTAAGATAGGATTAGTAACATATAAATTTCCCTTCCTTTTAGATGACTGCTAGAAGAAGAAACGCCATTACACTTGCGGGTGCTACCAACCCAGTAGCAAATGAAGAAGAAGCACCCCCAGTCCAACAAGAAGGACCAAACCCACCCTGACCTAGCAGCTTAGGAGGAGGCTGCAGCGCCCCCGGTAAACCAAGCAGAGATCAATGCGGCTCTCCTGCATGGTCTCCTAGACATAAGGACTCTGCTAGAGAATGTGATCGGGCAGTAAGGGCATAGAAACCTTGCCGCACCTGGACAACCAGCTGCGCCAGGGCATGGAAACCCTGCCGCACTAGGACAACCGGCAGCACCAGGGCATGGAAACCCTGCCGCACTAGGACAACCGGCTGTGCCAGGGCATGAAAACCCTGCCGCACCAAGACAGCTGACTGCACCATGGTTTGT